CATTGTTTAATTCATTAGACTTTAATTTGATTCAAAAAGCTTTGTTTAAATGTGTTTGACTTTCATTTGATTCAATTAGCTTTGTAGAATGCATTAGACTTTAATTTGATTCAATTAGCTTTGTAGAATGCATTAGACTTTAATTAGATTCAAAAAGGTTTATTTGAATGTTTTTGACTTTCATTTGATTCAATTAGCTTGAATGAATTCATTTAACTTTCATTTGATTAAAAAACCTTTGTTTGAATATGTTTGACTTTCATTTGATTCAATTAGGTTTGTTTGAATGTGTTTGACTTTTATTCGATTCAAATAGCTTTAATGAATGCACTTGACTTTCATTTGATTCAAAAAGCACTGTTTGAATGTGTTTGACTTTCATTTGACTCAATTAGGTTTGTTTGAATGTGTTTGACTTTCATTTGATTCATTTAGCTTTTTTTGAATGTGTTTGATTTTCTTTTGATTCAATTAGCTTTGTAGAATGCATTTGACTTTCATTTGATTGAATTAGCTTTGTTGAATGCATTAGACTTTAATTTGAATAAAAAATCTTTGGTTGACTGTGTTTGACTATCATTTGATTCAAATAGATTTGTTTGAATGTGTTTGACTTTCATTTGTTTGAATTAGTTTTGCTTGAATGTGTTTGACTTTCATTTGATTCAATTAGCTATGTAGAATGCATTTGACTTTTATTTGATTAAATTAGCATTGTTAAATGCATTAAACTTTCATTTGATTTAGAAAGCTTTGTTTGAAAGTGTTTGACTTTCACTTGATTCAATTAGCTTTGCTTGAATGTGTTTGACTTTCATTTGATTCAATTAGCTTTATAGAATGCATTTGACTTTCATTTGATTCAAAAAGCTTTGTTTGAATGTGTTAGACTTTCATTTGATTCAATTAACTTTGTTTGAATGTGTTTGACTTTCATTTGATTCAATTAGCTTTGTTGAATGCATTTGGCTTTAATTTGATTCAAAAAGCTTTGTTTGAATGTTTTAACTTTCATTTGATTCAATTAGGTTTGTTTGAATGTGTTTGATTTATATTCGTTTCAATTAGCTTTGATGAATGCATTTGACTTTTATTTGATGCAATTAGCTTGGATGAATGCATTTGACTTTTATTTGATTCAATTAGGTTTGTTTGAATGTGTTCGACTTTCATTCAATTGCATTAGCTTTGATGAATGCATTTGACTTTCATTTGATTCAAATGCTCTGTTTGAATGTGTTTGACTTTCATTTGATTCAATTAGCTTTATTGAATGCATTTGACTTTCATTTGATTCAAAAAGCTTTGTTTGAAAGTGTTTGACTTTCATTTGATTTAATAAGCTTTGTTTGAATGTGATTGACTTTAATTTGATTCAAAAAGATTTGTTTGAATGTGTTTGACTTTCATTTCATTCAATTAGGTTTGCTTGAATGTGTTTGACTTTCATTTGATTGAATTTGCTTTGTAGAATGCATTTGACTTTCATTTGATCCGAAAAGCTTTGTTTGAATGTGTTTAACTTTCAATTGATTCAAGTAACTTTGTTTGATTTTTTTTTTTACTTTCATTTGATTCAATTAGCTTTGTTGAATGCATTTGACTTTCATTTAATTCAAAAATCGTTGTTTGAATGTGTTTGACTTTCATTTGATTCAATTAGGTTTGTTTAAATTTGTTTGTTTTTTATTCGATTCAATTAGCTTTGATGAATGCATTTGACTTTTATTTGATTCAATTAGCTTTGATGAATGCATTTGACTTTTATTTGATTCAAATAGGTTTGTTCGAATGTGTTTGACTTTCATTCGATTCAATTAGCTTTGATGAATGCATTTGACTTTCATTTGATTAAAAAAGCTGTGGTAGAATGTGTTTGACTTTCATTTGATTCAATTAGCTTTATAGAATGCATTTGACTTTCATTTGATTCAATTAGGTTTGTTGAATGCATTAGACTTTAATTTGATTAAAAATGCTTTGTTTGAATGTGTTTGACTTTCATTTGATTCAATTAGCTTTGTTTGAATGTGTTTGGCATTCATTTGATTCAATTTGCTTTGTTTAACGCATTAGACTTTAATTTGAATCAAAAAGCTTTGGTTGACTGTGTTTGACTTTCATTAGATTCAATTAGCTTTATTGAATGCATTTGACTTGTATTTGATTTTGAAAGATTTGTTTGAATGTGTTTGACTTTCATTTGATTCAATTAGCTTTGCTTGAATGTGTTTGACTTTCATATTATTCAATTAGCTTTGTATAATGCATTTGACTTTCATTTGATTCGAAAAGCTTTGTTTGAATGTGTTTGACTTTTATTTGATTCAATTAACTTTGTTTGAATGTGTTTGACTTTCATTTGATTCAATTAGCTTTGTTTGAATGTGTATGACTTTCATTAGATTCAATTAGCTTTGTAGAATGCAATTGACTTTTATTTAATTAAATTAGCTTTGTTGAATGTATTAGACTTTAATTTCAATCAAAAAGCTTTGGTTGACTGTGTTTGACTTTCATTTCATTGAATTAGCTTTGTTGAATGCATTTTACTTTTATTTTATTCAAAAAGATTTGTTTGAATGTGTTTGACTTTCATTTGATTCAATTAGCTTTCACTAGTAGAAAAATTGAAAAAGGCATCCCCCTTTTGCCACCAGTTCTTTAAAACCGGTGGGAAAAGTTTTGTTTTATAAAAAAAAAAAAAAAAGAGGGAAAATGGATTTGCCACTGGGTCTAACAAAACCGGTGGGAAAAGTATGTTTCTCGCACCGGTTCTAACAAAACCGGTGGGAAAAGTGTTATGAAATAAAAAAAAACCGCTTATATTCTTCTTTCTTTCTCCTTCAATTCCTTGATCTTTCCTCCTCTCTCGTCTGCGCTACCTCTCTCTCCTCTCCCTCTCCTCCATTAAAACGAACCTCTCTGTACTCCTTCATATCTTTCTCGTCGTACTCCTTCCTCTCTCCCTCGTCCATTTAAGCGTTTCTCGCTGTACTCTTTCCTCTCTCTCTCCTCCATTTAAGCGTACTCGAAATTCTCCATTGAAGGGGCTTATGAGCTTTCTCTCCTCCATTGAAGCAGTCTCTAAGGTTAGATGCTTCTTTTTCTTTAATCATCTAATATTAATTTTGACAATCTAGTGTTAATCATGTATTTAATTGTTAGTATATACTCAATTTAGGGTTATTCGAAGTTGGAAAATTGAACTATTGGTTATACAAAGTCGAAGAATTTAACGTAATTTTTGGAGTCTAGTTTGATAATTGAGTCAATTTTGGTTGCTAATTTGTGAATTTTAGTTTATTTATTTTATTTTATAGGAAAAACACAAATTCACAAATTCTGGGGGTGGGGGACTGGTTTCAGGGGTAGAGTTTCGAGTCTACAGCAGTTTCGGGTCAGGGAAAGGGGTGGGGGTTTCTGGTGGGGAAAGGGATGGGAGTTAGGGTGGTTTCGGGTTAAGGAAATCAAGTTTTGGGCGGTTTCGTTGGTGGGGCTGGGGCGGGGGGTCTATTGCGCTTATGTGGCTCTGGAAGGAGGGTGGTTTTGGTGGTGGTGCAGAGGGAGGGGGTGGCTGTCGGGGCTGGGTTGGGGAGTGGTTGTTGGGCTGAAACACAGTCAAGAGATAGACAGGAGAATAGGGTTTTGGGAGGGTTCAAGGTGAAGGATGTTGTTAGTGGGGAGGTTAAGGATGTGCAGGTTTCTTATTTTTCGGTGTTTAGAGAGACATAAAGAGCAATGATATAAATCGAAATGATGACCGGGTTACGGAATGCACATTGTGGATTTGTGGTACAATCGTATAAGTGTTGTGATATGTTTTGTTGATGATGTTATCAGGGAGATGATTTGTGTGTTAGCTACTACTACATTGACAGTGAGCTCAATGCTTATGCCATATCTTCTGCTCAGGTCAACTCCTTAGCTTGCTTATCTATTTTTATACAACTATTTTACGAATACACAAAGGAAGTACGGAATTATGTTGAGTACATTTGATAATTCGGTTCCATGGAAAGTCGAAAAACCTTTAAACTGTTGCCATGCTTCGGTGATTGTAAGTTGTAATTGCTCTGTGTAAATGGATCATTTGGTAAAAAAAAAAAAAAAAAAAAAAAAATAAGTTGTTTTGATGAACTATTTTAATGTTAATTTGTTTTATGGAATGAGTGTTACCCTTGGCCCTAAATCTCCAAGACGATACAGAAAAAGTGTCAGTGGGATGTCTTTGTGGCTTGACGGCTTTAAGAGAAGTAATGTTGTTTCTGCATCTGGTATACTTGAGTTTGCTTACAGGTTTGCTTTCCGAAATTTACTTAAGTTTTTAGTGACAATGTTAAAATTATTCCGTTGAGACATTAAAAATAAGGAATTGGCAATCCTCTTTATGTGATCATAGGGATAAAACCGAATTGGGTAGTGAAGATGAGAAATCTTATCAGTCCGATTAGTGCCATTTTTATAGATTGATCAATGGATTTTGTAAATGTTACTAACAAATCAATTATGTTTCATAACTTGATGCTTGAATCTTGGTGTTAGATTTTATTACATATATGCTGCTGTTTTGATTCTTTGTAATTTACGTGAGAATCGTAAAAGGAGGTATTAATTGCTTTCTTATGGTAATAAATAATTGTCGTAGTAGACCTCATTACAGCTTATAATGTCATATTACTGTGTTTGGCTGGTGTCATTGCTTTGCTAAGAATGTATAATTCAAGTATAATTTACATCTTAATATGATTTTTGGTCTCAGTATCTCAAGTGCTCTCTTTCTCCACCCTCTTTGTCAATCTATCCTTGTTGGAGAGTAATTTCTTGTAGATTCAAATCATGGTGAAACTACTGATCTGAAAAGAACTCTGATTGCACTTTACTTGATGACTATAAGAGTATAAGCTGGCTACTTCTTTTGTAGGGATTTGCAGAAGGCGACTCAGAATTTCACAACATTGGTTGGCCAGGGTGCATATGGTCCTCTGTACAAAGCTCAAATGTCAACTGGTGAAATAGTTGCTGTGAAGGTGCTGGCAACTGATTCAAAGCAAGGGGAGCGAGAATTTGAAACAGAGGTAATGTCATATTTTAATCAGTGCAGCTTCTTAGCGGCATATAATCTATACCAAGGTTCATCCTTATATGTCCTGTGTGGTAGACAAGTTGCTGTCTCTTTTTATGCTGTAGTTATTTTGCTGATTGATTCTTGATCTCACCTTCTTTTATTGCATGCTCTTGTTTCTCAGGTTAAGCTGTTAGGAAGGTTGCATCACAGGAACCTCTTGAATTTGCTTGGATATTGTACAGAGAAGGGTAGTATCCGAATTGGGTTGAAATTTGTTGTGAAATAGAACTATAGGACTTGAATTACAATCTTGGGTTGATTATTCCAATTTTAGGTGAGCTGCCATCGGCAATGAGGACATCAGCTTGGGTGGGGAAATGGCATTTGATACTACAAAGACAAACACCATTGCCACCAATGTCACCGTGCTCTGCTCTGCATCAGTTTTGCATTCTTGCCACCCTTGAAGTCCTTAGTTCTATTAGTTTTTGTATACTGTCAGACAGCATATGTTAATGTTTATATGTCCAAAAATATATATGTTATTGTTTATATGTCCATTTTTTTTTAGTTTTTTAAAGTGTAATATTACAAGTTATTGAGGCAAATATATGTGTTTTATGTATATTATGATTATATATAAGTATTTGGTACAATTTAAGTGAAAAAAATGCAAAAAAAAAAAAAAAAAAGTTAATTTTTTGGGGCACTTTTGCCACCGGGTCAGTGTGAAAATCAGTGGGAAATGTTATAGTTTTTGCCACCGGTTCACTTGAAAACCGGTGGGAAAAGTCCTCCAGCTATAAGATAAATCACATGTTTTTGCCACCGGTTCACTCCAAAACCGGTGGGAAAAGTGGTTTTTGCCACCGGTTTTGAACCGGTGGGAAATCTTTGGGGATTTAGCACCCCCCAAATCAAGAACGGTTCAAAACCGGTGGGGAATGAGTGGTTTGAACCGGTGGGGATTGGGGTTTTTTGCCTAGTGTTTGCTTGAATGTGTTTGACTTTCATTTGATTCAATTAGCTTTGTAGAATGCATTTGACTTTCATTTGATTTGAAAAGCTTTGTTTGAATGTGTTTGACTTTCATTTGATTCAATTAGCTTTGTTGAATGCATTTGACTTTCATTTAATTCAAAAAGCTTTGTTTGAAAATGTTTGACTTTCATTTGATTTAAATAGCTTTGTTTAATTGTGTTTGACTTTCATTAGATTCTTTTTTTTTTTTTTTTGAAAAGGTAAGAAAATTATTAATACCAAAAGACGAGGGACAAGACCTCAAGTACAACCCCAGACCTAGGAGAGACCACCTTCTAGGAAGGGTGCCTCAAAGCTAGGATGGGCTAGGCACAAAGTTGGAAGGCACAACAGCCCATAAGTTCTAGCACAAAGCAAACAAACCAAGACAAACTAAAAAAAAACAAAGCTAAAAGGCCCAAAACAAAAGGGCCTATCGAGGAATACAACTTCTAAGCATAAACAGCCATTTACAATGCTGTTTTTTCCACTTACTACCAATATTTTGCTGAATTCTATCAACAATCTCTGTGCACATTTTAGTGCATAATCTTCTCGGATGAGGAACAACAACATTCCAGAAGGTGTGATTCCGTGCATACCAAAGGTAGTACACCAAACCAGTAAGGACAACAAAGCCCACCTTTCTCTTAATAGGGTCTTTAAACAATTTTTTCCAACATTTCCAGGTGCTGTTAATATCAACATGATTATCTGAAATCTGCAACAAATGACAGATAATATTCATACATCTTCTGCTGTAAGGACAGTTGAAAAATAGGTGACTATGATCTTCCCTCTGATCTCCACAAAGATAGCAAGTAGCAGAGTCACTAACACCCATTCTCAGTAATTTATCTCTTGTTCTCAGTCTGCCCAAAATAGCCATCCAAGCTATAATAGAATGTCTAGGAACATTGTAATGATTCCAGATCCAGCTATCCCAATCTATAGTCTGTGAACCTCTCTATAACCAGGCATATCCATCTGAGATAGAGTACTTCCCCTCTTTCCAGTGTTCAGAGTGAAAACCATCCTTTAACTCATCCTTAACAGAGCAGATCCTCTTCCAAGCCCAGCCATCAGCTTTCTTGGGGACATAGGACCACCAATTAGTCTCTTTCATGTAGACATTGTGGATCCATTTAACCCATAATGAGTCTTGTTTCTGAGCCACCTTCCAAACAAACTTGCCTAGGGAAGCCTTATTCCACAGCTCACAATCTCTGATCCCCATACCACCAGTCTTCTTAGCTCGACAAATCCAACTCCAAGCAACAGGAGGGCATTTAGACAATGAAGCTGACCCACACCATAAGAAATGCCCTGCATAGCTGATTTATCCTGTTAATGACTGTCTTAGGAAACAGAATACATTGTGCCCAGTAGGTGTGTAGGCTCATAAGAACAGAATTTATGAGCACCACTCTTGCAGCATAAGAAAGGTTCCTACTGGACCACCTAGTCATCCTAGCCAGCATACTGTCAATTAACCCATCAAAATCACTAACCTTCATGTATCTGCTATTCAAAGGTATACCCAAGTATTTAAAAGGCATACAGCCTTCCACAAACCCCGAGTGCTGTAAAATCTCCTTCTTAATATCAGGATGAACATTACCAAAATAGATGGCAGTCTTATCAGAGTTAGCTAGCAACCCCGAGACCTTTTCAAACATTTTCAGAGCTCTTGTAAGATAGCTCACTGATTTTTTTATCCCCATAAGCAAAGAGCATTAAATCATCAGCAAACACCAGATGATTAAGTTTCAACTCTTTGCACCTATAGTGAAACTTGAAACCCTTCTTGTGCCCTACCTTCCTTAGCAGCCTGGTTAAATACTCCATTACAATCACAAAGAGAAGAGGAGACATGGGATCTCCCTGTCTCACACCTCTCTTACCGGAAAGAAACCATGCATACCCCCATTTAGAAAGATGGAATAAGAGGGAGAGGTCACACATTCCATAATCCAGTGAACAAACTGAGTAGGGAAACCAAAACAGCCTAGCATATCCTCAATAAAGCTCCAGTAAACTGAATCATAGGCTTTTCGAAGATCAACCTTCACAATACACCTAGGAGACTTCCTTTTATTATTATAATCTTCAAGAATATCTTGACAAATAAGCACATTGTCTAAAATCGACCTACCAACAATAAAAGCACCTTGGGACTCATCAATTAGCACAGGTAACACCTCTTTCATCCTAGAGCACAAAATTTTCGAGATAATTTGTAGAGAACATTACAGCATGCTATTGGTTCAAAACTTTTCATTAGATTCAATTAGCTTTGTAGAATGCAATTGACTTTTATTTGACTAAATTAGCTTTGTTGAATTTATTAGACTTTAATTTGAATCAAAAAGCTTTGGTTGACCGTGTTTGACTTTCATTTTGATTCAATTAGCTTTATTTGAATGCATTTGACTTTTATTTGATTCAAAAAGATTTGTTTGAATGTCTTTGACTTTCATTTAATTCAATTAGCTTTGCTTGAATGTGTTTAACTTTCATTTGATTCAATTAGCTTTGTAGAATGCATATGACTTTCATTTGATTAAATTAGCTTTGTTGAATGCATTTGACTTTTCATTGATTTAAAACGCTTTGTTTGAAAATGTTTGACTTTCATTTGATTTAATAAGCTTTGGTTGAATGTGTTTGACTTTAATTTGATTCAAAAACTTTGTTTGAATTTGTTTGACTTTCATTTGATTCAATTAGCTTTGTTTGAATGTGTTTGGCTTCCATTTGATTCGTTTAGCTTTGTAGAATGCATTTAACATTCATTTGATTCAATTAGCTTTGTTGAATGCATTTGACTTTCATTTAATTCAGAAAGCTTGATTGAATGTGTTTGACTTCCATTTGACTCAATTAGTTTTATAGAATGCATTTGACTTTCATTTGATTCGAA